AAAAGTCCAGAAATGGCAAGTTCAGGGAAGGGACAAAGAAAAGGAAACCATAACACACCTTGGAAATGTTTGTTGGTGAAATCATTACAGAGAACAGGATGGAGGCTCTTTAAAAAAACTGAAAATGTAACTGCTAGTAATCCCTCCTTTGGACATGTTCTCAGAAGAAATGACCGGCGTACCATACAGACACAGCCAGAAGCCACTACTCACTGCTGTATTACGTATAGCAGCCAGTGCATAGAAACAACGCAAATGGCCATTAACTGATGAGTGGTGAAACTGTGAATATATGTCTGTCTGTCTGTCTTTCTGTCTATCTATCATCTATCTAGTAAAATATTCAGTTCTGAAAATGCAGAGCTGTCATTTGCAAGAGGATGGATGGTCTCAGAGGACATAAGTGGGGGAGAGACAGAAAGAAAAACACTGCATGATCACACTGACATTGGCAGCTGACACACACACATAATAGAGTTCAAATAGTGATTAGCAGGGATAAAGGGAGGAATTGGAAAGGCTTTAAGCAGAGGGTGGTAACTGGCAGTTAGGTGGGATAAACCAACCTAGAGATCTAATATATGGCAAAAGGATTACAGTAAGTTGCACTGTGCATTCAAAATTGGCTAAGAAACTGATTTTGGTAGTGCTTACCAGAAAAAAGCTATCCATGAAGGGTGATGGCTATGGTTAGTTACCTGTGGTAATTATTTGTGGATAGCTATATAAAAACATTATGCTGTACAACTTAAATCTACATAGGAACAATTCAACCTCTACAATTTTGGAAGCATCAATTAAAACACAGATTAAAAAGGCATTTCATTACAAGGAAGTGATTCATTTTTTGATACCCATTATATTTGACATTTTGAACAATTGTAGTTGGGAACAAACCAATGTAATTTATTAGTACACACTGGCAAAGTCATATAGCTCTTCACCTAGTGATCTGTACCTCAAAAACAAAAAAAAAAACCAGATATGTGCTTGTTAATTACTTGGTAAAATTCTGCATTGCCTCATTTTTTTATGTTTATCTCTATTTTCTACATACTATACAGGGAATAGGAAAATGTGTTTGAAAACTAAAGCAAACCTATTAATTTGGCATGTAAAACATATTTCAATTTCCAAGCACACAGTATGGAAGTTTTACTTACGTGATTCCTGTACATAAGGAGAATGAGAGCAATCCTTTACAAATGGAGTAGAGTTTTACCAGAACAAATGACAAAAACAAAGCCATGTTTGACATGGATCCACGGGGATTTATGGTGCAACACAGCCAAGAAGTCTGTTACAATCTCTTGCAGGTTTGCATCTGATTGTTCTGGGATTTTTCTGTCTGCCTTGACATTGCTCAAGAGGACCTGGTGCTGGGTGATAACATGAGATAAGAAACCATTCTCAAACTTTATGAAAAACTATGGAGCACTTTATAAATTTGCAGGTCATATTTCTTGATAGAACTGTTAGGAAAATAGTTCAGTGCGGCACTAGTGTATCTAGGAATTCGCAATGCTAACCAGGTTCCTAGGATCAATGATTAGATGTCATGAAGAGGTCTAGGACTATTTTGACATCTCAGAGAAGAGTCAGCTTATGACATGTTTACATGATGGGAGGAGAACTCTTCCAAGACTAACTGTGGAGTAAAACACAAAAGTGTTTCTCCAAGTTTTTCCAAGTCTCCATCCTAACCTTTCAGAGCCATCATTCACCAAGTGTATCTTGAGTGGCACCATCCTGTAACAGACTGAGCTAAGCATCCAGGATTGATGTACATCTGGAAATGCCATCTCTAGACTCCTGTACCAAAACTCCTGGATACACAGCACATAATCATACATAAACTTTGACAACCACATTCTATGAGAACTAAGCTCTGTGACATGCTTTCAAATTTTCAGATAATTTAGCTCTACTGAATTATGATTGGATGTGATGCCAGAATTGAGAAGAATTTGTGTTTAGGACACATACGGTCTACTCATAGGCACCATAGTAATGACGTGGAGAGTAGTGTAAAGATTTAATGGGAAAATGAGACTGATGAGATGGCTCGTGGGAAGCATAAAGACTTGAGTTCAGAACCTCAGAACCCATGCTAAAGCTCTGTCTGTCTGTCTGTCTGTCTGTCTGTCTGTCTGTCTCTCCTCTCTCTCCGCCCCCTCTCTCTCTCTGTGTGTGTACAGGTGGCTCTCAAGAGGTTATTGGTCAGCCAGCCTATACAAATTGACACAACTCAGTAAAAGATCCTTCCTCAAAACGTAAGGTGGAGAATGATCAAGAAAGTATTGTGATGTCAACCTCTGTCCTGCATACACACTTGCATACACTCATATAAATGCTCCCATGAACTTGTATGTACAACACACACACACACACACACACACACACACACACACACACACACACACACAGTTTAATATATAGAAAACCATTTCAAAGATTTAACAAATGAATAGCCTGATCAGATTTTTGTCTGTAAAAGTAC